GCGCTTCTCCCACGGCCTGGCCAAGTCGTAGGTCGCTCTCGTTCCCGAGATCGTCCTGGCTGTTCAGGTGGTGGTGTCCGTCCCCTCCCCCTTCCGTCCCCCTCTTGGCGTCCCGTCGGCGGAGTTGAGGAGGTTTCAAAATGCGGCAGTACCAATGGTCCTCGCTCATCCAGCTGTGGGTCGTTTGCCTCTCCGGCGAGGTCGATGACCGCCTGACGTGACCCCCCGGCGAACAATGGTCTCATTTCGGTCTGGAGTGTTGTGATTCGCTCGGCTAGCGAACGTTGGGCGGCTTCTTCTTCCGACTGGAGGTCGATCCGGGAAATGCGCTGTAGGACCTCCGATGCGCTGAATCCCCCCCTCCGGCCGTGGCTGGGGCAGGAAACCATGTCAGTGTAGAGCGCTAATTCTCACGGTAGGCGATCTTCGATCAATCCCACTGCACACCGTGAAGATATCACAGAAATGCCTGATCTCCCTCGTCTGACTTGCCTCCGACAAGGTGGAGCTGATCAAGTCTATCTCTGACTGTGCGTTTCGTATCGCCGCATCCACGATGCCGCTACCGTGTTGCTGTCGTAGGCGGTCGTTCGTGGTCGAGATATTGGACGCCGCCGGCACTGGGGGCAATGGATGACATCCCCCACTTCCCGCACACTGGCCCTTGTGTAGCAATCCAGGCACATCACGTGGGTACAACCTCCAAGAGGGGCCGACGGTTCCTCGGCTTCCCCCATGCAAATGCTGCACACCTGCTACCCACTTGTCGCGTCGGTCGGTGCGGGGGCCGATCTGTGTGGTGGGTTGTTCTTCTCTGAAGGTTCATCTCTCTCCCTAAGAGCCTGTGTCTCAGAATCCGCCCTGCCCGAGCATGCCACGCTCGTCGCGGATCCTGAATTGCGTGGCCCGTGCTCCCCGTCAAAACTGTCTCCACTCGGCTCGTGTCCCCTCCCGAAGGGCGCGGCGGCCGTCGAAGCGACCCCAATTGTCGGGAATGTAGCCGGAGTCTGTTCTGAGGCGTGCGGCTCGTGCAATGGCAGGGGTCTCCCTTCCGCTCCGGGAAGACTCCTTTCGGGCCGCTGACGTTGCTGAAATGGCGATGTCTCCGGTCGGCTTTCGACCTGAGCTGGAGCCGACCGAGCCCGGTCTTCTTCACAGGGTGAGGCCAACAACGGTGGGGCTTCCAATCCTCCGATATCGACACGTCGCTCCCTTTCTAGAGTGCAACTACTCAAGACTCCTTAAACCTGAACTTGACAGTATGTGCGGTAGAGGGGGGAGTTGAGGGAAACGCGAAAGCACGGCCTTTTGGAACAACGCCGACGTCTTCGGGCGAGCAATACTTTTTGTCATGCATCAGCTTGATCTCGCCTTGAATCAACGCCGGCGTCCTCGAAACAACGCCGGTGTCTTCCAACGTGGCTGGCCCTGGGTCGATGTCATGGTCCGACAAATCGATTGGATTGAGACACGACCGATCAAAGCGTCTCTCACGGCCTTGACGTCTTCTCAACGTTTTCAAAAATTTGAAAACACAAATTGAAGTTCGCATCGCCACGGACCTGATTCTCACGTCCATTTTTCTTGCGAGTGTTCGAAACAAATTCCGACACAACTATTCAAGAATGTTGAAAGCTGAACTTGAAAACATGTGGGGTAACAGGGGGTGAACGAGGAAATGCGAGAACACGGCCTTTGGAACAACGCCGACGTCTTCGGACGATCATTACTTTTTGTCATGCATCAGCTCGATCCCGCCTTGAAACAACGCCGGCGTCTTCCAACGCGGCTGGCCCTGGGTCGATCTCATTTTCCGACACATCGACTGGATCGAGACACTATCGACCAAAACGTCTCACGGCCTTGACGTCTCCTCAGCTCTTTCAAAAATTTGAAAAACCAAGTTCTAGTTCTCATCGCCACTGACCTGATTTTCAGGTCCTTGTTTTGTGCCAGTGTCGAAAACCAGTTCCGACACAGCTATTCAAGAATGCTTGAACCCCAACATGAACACATGTGGGGTAACAGGGGGTGAACGAGGAAACGCGAGAACACGGCCTTTGGAACAACGCCGAGGTCTTTGGAGCAGTAATACTTTTTTGTCATGCATCAGCTCGATCTCGCCTTGAATCAGCGCCGGCGTCCTCGAAAAACCGCCGGCGTCTCCCAATGCGGCTGGCCCTAGGTCGATCTCATTTTCCGACACGTCGATTGGATCGAGATACTATCGATCAAAACGTCTCAAGGCATTGACGTCTCCTCAACGTTTTCGAACATTTGAAAACACAAATTGAAGTTCGCATCGCCACGGACCTGATTTTCAGGTCCTTCTTTTGTGCGAGTTCCGGAAACCAGTTCCGACACAACTATTCAAGAATGCTTGAATCCCAACATGAACACATGTGGGGTAACAGGGGGTGAACGAGGAAACGCGAGAACACGGCCTTTGGAACAACGCCGGCGTCTCTGGACGAGCAATACTTGTTGTCATGCATCAGCTCGACCTCGCCTTGAAACAACGCCGGCGTCCTCGAAGCAACGCAGGCGTCCTCGAAACATAGCCGGCGTCCTCGAAACAACGCGGGTGTCTTCCCTCGCGGCTGGCCTCAGGTCGATCTCATGGTCCGACACATCGATTGGATTGAGATAAGATCGATCAAAGCATCTCACGGCCTTGACGTCTTCTCAACGATTTCGAAAAATTGAAAAAGTAATCTGAAGTTCGCATCGCCACGGACCTGATTTTCAGGTCCTTGTTTTGTGCGAGTGTCGGAAACCAGTTCCGACACAGCTATTCAAGAATGCTTGAACCCCAACATGAACACATGTGGGGTAACAGGGGGTGAACGAGGAAACGCGAGAACACGGCCTTTGGAACAACGCCGAGGTCTTTGGAGCAGTAATACTTTTTTGTCATGCATCAGCTCGATCTCGCCTTGAATCAGCGCCGGCGTCCTCGAAAAACCGCCGGCGTCTCCCAATGCGGCTGGCCCTAGGTCGATCTCATTTTCCGACACGTCGATTGGATCGAGATACTATCGATCAAAACGTCTCAAGGCATTGACGTCTCCTCAACGTTTTCGAACATTTGAAAACACAAATTGAAGTTCGCATCGCCACGGACCTGATTTTCAGGTCCTTCTTTTGTGCGAGTTCCGGAAACCAGTTCCGACACAACTATTCAAGAATGCTTGAATCCCAACATGAACACATGTGGGGTAACAGGGGGTGAACGAGGAAACGCGAGAACACGGCCTTTGGAACAACGCCGGCGTCTCTGGACGAGCAATACTTGTTGTCATGCATCAGCTCGACCTCGCCTTGAAACAACGCCGGCGTCCTCGAAGCAACGCAGGCGTCCTCGAAACATAGCCGGCGTCCTCGAAACAACGCGGGTGTCTTCCCTCGCGGCTGGCCTCAGGTCGATCTCATGGTCCGACACATCGATTGGATTGAGATAAGATCGATCAAAGCATCTCACGGCCTTGACGTCTTCTCAACGATTTCGAAAAATTGAAAAAGTAATCTGAAGTTCGCATCGCCACGGACCTGATTTTCAGGTCCTTGTTTTGTGCGAGTGTCGGAAACCAGTTCCGACACTGTTCAAGAATGCTAATAGCTGAACTTGAAATACGTGGGGTAACAGGGGGTGGACGAGGAGACGCGAAAACACGGCCTTTGAAACAACGCCGAGGTCTTTGGACAAGCAACACTTTTCGTCATGCATCAGCTCGATCTCGCCTTGAAACAACGCCGGCGTTCTCAAAACAAAGCCGGCGTCCTCGAAACAACGCCGGCGTCCTCGAAACAACGCCAGCGTCCTCGAAACAACGCCGGCGTCCTCCAACTCGGCTGGTCCCAGGTCGATCTCATTTTCCGACACATCGACTGGATTGAGACACCATAGATCAAAGCGTCTCGAAGAATCTGTAAAAAAACATTTCATGGATTCGATTTTGGATACGAGTCATGCGGACGGAGTGTTGGAGGCGATGTCCGAGACTGTGGACCATGCTGATCTTCGGGCAGAGCTGGAATCGTCCAAGGAGGAAAACTCGGCTCTGAAGGAGGAGAACTCAGTTCTCAAGGAGAAGAACTTAGCTCTAAAGGAGGAACTGGAGAGTTATTCCCCTTTAGAAGAGAGGTACCGATCCGTCCTCAAGACTATGTCGACTAAGGGCGAAAAGATGGACGAGTACGAGCTTGAAAATCGTCGACTGAAGCTCAATGAGATCGGTTTCAAGTCGGCGGAATCGTACTGCAAAGAGTACCGCGTGGACAAGAAGCGTCGGAGTCGTTGGCCCGATCGCATCGATAAGGAGTGGTTGCTTCAGCAACGTTTCGATGACGGACACCCTTAAGCCCTTCGTCCGCGGTAGTCGAATTGTAATGTACTGTGGTTGTTGTAGTATTTGTTTCATCACGCTCCACCTTGTCGATGCGGACGGGTCGTGTTCTTTCTCGTCGATCGAGATGGCCCTGAATGGGTCCTTGCACAGCTGGAAGGATAATGTTAAGATACGAAATTTAGTAAGAGATTACTGGCACGGCTTCCTCGATCTGGGCGTGGAGTCCCCGGACAACTTCACGCCGACGTTCGTGAGGTACATGACGTCGGTCAGCATCGATCAGTTCGATGTGGATGCGTACAGCGACATTGCGAGCGCCGACGACAAAACAACCTTTGACTGTTTGACCGAAATGGCAGAGCACGTCCTCCACACCAACTGCTGTGTGGACACGGTGACGTTCGGCGCTTTTCTCAAGTCTCTCGACTGTTCGATCGCCGCGGTCGTGATGGACGATGCCATCACAGAACTTGTTGAGCGTTCCCGAAGAACTGACGCGAAACAAAGAATTTTACATTCGCCTGTGGCTACAGGACGGCCCTACCAGCCTATCCAGCTCGTGCACAAAGGCCAAGACTTGGCAATGTGCGTCTCACGGCAATCCATCTAGAAATTCATGAAAGGTTGTCACCCCTAACACTCCCTCAAATACTAGGGCGTCCGATATCCACTCCCGAAGTACATGGAGTCGGCGAGTTGGTGAGGGCATATCTTTGGACGATCGACGCGGGGCTTCTTGCCGTCGATGGTGTCCTTCAGCTTCTTGATCTCGGTGTTGGCCTCGTCGAGCTTGGTCCTTCCTGACTCGTACAGGTCGACGACGCGTTTTTTGTCGGCGCTGGCCTGGGCGAGCCGATCCTCGTACATGTCACGAGTGCGCTTCTTTTCTCCGACGACGGAGGCATATTTTTTCTTTTGTTCGGCACAAAGCGTGTTCAGGCGAGCGCTTCTTTTCTCCGACGACGGAGGCATATTTTTTCTTTTGTTCGGCACAAAGCGTGTTCAGGCGGTCGTTCTCGTGAACGGTTTGTTCCAGCCGGGACGTGATATCCTTGTGCCCGCTGTCCAACCTGCTCTCCGCCATGTCAGCTCTGAACATGGATCTCTGATTCGACGCCAGCAGGCTCTTCTTGTCGGCTTCCAGTTCCGAACGCACACCTTTTTCTTGTTGGAGGAGACTCTTTGTGTCGACGAGTTCGGCGCCGGTAGAGCTCAGCTCTTGGGCGAGGTTCTTGACCTTATCCTTCAGAAGAAGATTTTCTTTGAACATGACCTTGGGGTCCTCCATTTTTTTCACAAGTTGGTCGGCATCGGTCCTGTCCAGCACCTTGTCCAAGAAAAACGTCCTGGTCGTGTCCAGCCTGATGTCGTCGAATGTGTCGGCGGGCGTCTTGTGGGAAAGCGACATGGTGGCGAAGATGATGTCCAGAAAGGTCTTGGTCTCTTTCGAATCGTGCGAGAGAGACGATTTCAAAACATAAATGCCGCAGCTGGCGAAGTCCACGTGATCTGTTCCTAGAGTCGTCGTTTGCGGAAGAGTGCCGTTCGCCGGCAAGAGGTTGAGTCTCGGGCGCTTTTCCTTGAGAGCCTTGAGTATGAAGCACGGTCCACACATGGCGGCAATCGCGGACACGTGCTTCTCCAGAATGTTGCGAGCATTGCCCATGTCGGACGGCGTTGCGCTCGTCGCGTATCCCAGTTCGCTGAATGTGTGGCAGTGGCCGCGGCGAAGGATGCTTTCCACAATACCAAAGAATAGGACAACGAATTCCACGCATAGTTCTTGTTGGATATCTTTGCTGACGTGCTTCTTCTGGTGTATTATGACGTCGTCCAGGAGAGTGCACACTCTGTCCGTGACGATGGAGAGATTGAACACCTCCGTCATCAGGTACCGGTTGAAGTCTTCCACCTTCCGGAGGCGATCACAAATTTCTTTGGCCAGTCCGCGCTGCGCTTCGCCGATCGCGATCGACACTGCAACTCGGATGGCGACCATAACCTTGCGATCGGACGTGTCCTTGTCGAAGACCTCGGCTTTCATGAACTCCATGCACGCCTTGGTCAGGTTCGTGTGCACGTGTTCCGTCTTGTCCTCGGCGGGCAGAGACTGCATCACATGGTCGTACGACGTTTTCCACTCTTCCTGCTTGTGTGCGCGGAGGTACCGTATGGCCTCCGAGCAAATAGAGATTGTGATAAAGAGCTTGGAGGTCGTCATTGTCGTTTGTGGTTTGTGGTTTGCGGTTTGTGGTTGAGTGGGTCCCATGTATAGATTAAAGTGTACACCAAACTTTGAACCCCGTGCGCCACAAGACCCTCAGAGTTCATTTCCTTCCAGATTTTGACGCCACAGATGATGAAGTTGTATGCGCCCGTGCCTCAAAGACTGATTGACCTCGCAAGCCTGATCAGGACGCCAAAGACGCCGCGGCGAGAGAAATCGTCCCTACCTCCCTGAGGTGGCCCAGCCTTGCGTTTGGAATCAAGGAACTCAGGATCCAACAGGCGGTCGACGCGGAGAAAGCGCGTGTCACGAGGTACTGTAGTTGGTACGATGCGAGTTGATGCGCGTTGATGCGCTGACACGACCGACACAGCGGATAAATGATAACCACGATGAATACCATCTATCGCTTAAACATTTTGAGCGCCAACACGCCCGACAGAAAGATGGTAACCACGGTGATTACCGTCTATCGGCCGACAGTTCTGAGCGGCTGACAGATAGGTCGTAACCACGATGAATACCATCTATCTCCCGAACATTGGAGCGCCAACACCCCCGATAGATAGATGGTAACCACGGTGAACACCATCTTTCGCCCAAACATTTTGCGCGCCAACACGCCCGACAGATAGATGGTAACCACGATGAATACCATCTATCGCTTGAAAGTTCTGATAGGCTGACAGAAAGATGGTAACAACGAGGAACACCATCTATCTCCCGAACGTTGTGAGCGCTGACACGACCGACCACGGCCAGTGCGTGTGGATCCCGAGATGATGTGATGCGAGGTCGATGCGATGCGAGGTCGATGCGATGCGAGGTCGATGCGATGCGATCTTCCATATTGACAACTCCCATGGTATCCGCGCGCACGCACGACCTCGTCTTTTTAATTTCACCCGCCCGTGTCGTTCCAATGATTCGAATCGGAACCTCAAATTTTGGCGATCGCCCTCCTTCCCCCTCCCCCCACTCCTCACTCCTCACTCCTCACTCCTCACTCTCCACTCTCCGCTGCAGGTGAATTTCACTCAAACATTATGTCAAACTCACGATCATCGTCAAGCTCCACAAGCTCCACAAGCTCCAGGCTGTCGTCGATCGAGAAGAATCAGAGGTACGATCTGGAGAGCATCAACAAGAACCACGCCAACATGCAGAAGAACTACAAGGACATCAGGGAGTCGCAAGATCGTGTGACCAAGCTCGAGGAGCGCGTTCTGCAGCTGGAGACGATCGTCTCGTCGCTGAGGTCGTCGGATCCATCGTCGTCATCGTCCCAATCCCAATCCCAATCCCAATCGAAGAAGATCGTGTACAAGCCGCGGCCGCGTCCGACCGAATTTCACTCACCTAAACAGCCGAGCACGAACGAAGAGAAGGTGGCGCACATGCAGCAGCTGTCGGCGAAGCTCCAGCTCGATCGCTCGGCGCTGATCGCCTTCAACAAGAAAAACATGGCGCTACCCGAGAGCGAGAGGCACGTCTGGGAGAAGAGGCTGAAGAAGAAGGACGGCAGCGTCGTCGTCCAGCGGTTGGACAGGATCGTCGACAACAAGAGCCTGGATTGTTTGCTTAGGAACGACGCTACGAGGGCCGTGGTCAACAACATGCTGGTCGACAAAGGCGGACCGGAGCGCAACATGAAGTCGACGATCCGCACAACGTACTGGGTGTTTCTCAGAGACGGCAAGCTCACCACGATCAGCGAACAGTTCAAGGGCGGCGTCGGGACCGAGTACCTGTGGACAGAGGACGCCGCGCTCCGACGGCCGTCCGCCGACTGGATGAATGACACGAGGCGCCAAATGGATCCGCGCAGGGCCCATATCGACCCTCGGACCATGGCGCTGTGGGTCCCGAAGAAGAAGTCTGTGAAACGAAGAAGGTGGGGGAGGGAGCCGTGCCCCAGGAGGGGGGTGGCGACGGAGACGACAGCGGCAGTTCGAGTGACAGCTCGAGTGACAGCTCGAGTGACAGCTCGAGTGACAGCTCGAGTGACAGCAGCGACGACGACGGCAACGACGGCAACGAAGGCGACAACAACGGCGACAACAACGGCGACAACAACGGCGACAACAACGACGACAACGAGAGCGGGCGTGTCGATGAACCTGTGCAGAAGGATGGTGTTGGCGAGGGTGGTGCAGAGAGTGTAGCACATGGTGCAGAGAGTGTAGCACAAGGTGCAGAGAGTGCGGAGAGTGTGGAAGACGAGTCCATCGTTGGTCTCAAGCGCGCTTTGGACGCAGCAGTAGCGGGAGACACGTCTTCGGAGTCGGAGTCGGAGTCGGAGTCGGAGTCGGAATCAGAGTCGGAGTCAGAGTCGGAGTCGGACGCACCCAAGAGACCGCGCATTATGTAGTTTCAGAGCGGTTTTGGTCATATCTGCTTTCATGTTGTTTGTTTGTTTGAAGCATTGTATGAGCTGGACTTGAAAGAAATAATGAACGATGATGAGAAAAAAAAGACAGCAACAACAACAACAACAACGGGCTCTGTACGAGCACATGGGGGTCGTCTGGATGGTGTTTCCTCCATTGCGTCGCCGCTGGTCACCCCGTTGATCCGGACGAATATGATGACATTCGCGGCAACATGAGAGGGCATACCAAGCGCAAGTATCGATTTCAAGAGCTTTGGTCTGCCTTGTCCTTTTGCAGATAGCAAGTGGCTGGATCGAAGAGCTCTGTGTCTGCCTTTGTCCTTTTGCGGATAGCAAGTAGTTGCGCCGAAATGCTCTGTGTCTGCCTTTGTCCTTTTGCAGATAGCAAGTAGTTGGACCGAAGAGCTCTAGGTCTGCCTTTGTCCTTTTACAGATAGCAACTAGTTGGACCGAAGAGCTCTAGGTCTGCGTTTGTCCTTTTGCAGATAGCAAGTAGTCGCGCCGAAGAGCCCTGGGTCTGCGTTTGTCCTTTTGCAGATAGCAAGTAGTTGGACCGAAGAGCCCTGGGTCTGCCTTTGTCCTTTTGCAGATAGCAAGTAGTTACGCCGAAGAGCCCTGGGTTTGCCTCTGTCCTTTTACAAATAGCAAGTAGTTGGACCGAAGAGCCCTGGGTCTGCCTTTGTCCTTTTGCAGATAGCAAGTAGTTACGCCGAAGAGCCCTGGGTTTGCCTCTGTCCTTTTACAAATAGCAAGTAGTTGGACCGAAGAGCCCTGGGTCTGCCTTTGTCCTTTTGCAGATAGCAAGAGTTGGACCGAAGAGCCCTAGGTCTGCCTTTGTCCTTTTGCAGATAGCAAGACCGAAGAGCCCTGGGTCTGCCTTTGTCCTTTTACAGATAGCAAGTAGTTGGACTGAAGAGCCCTGGGTCTACCTTTGTCCTTTTGCAGATAGCAAGTAGTTGGATCGAAGAGTCCTAGGTCTGCATCATCGGACCGAAGTACAATTCCCTGCGGCAGCATGGAACAGAATTCCCAAGCGCCAACAGCTTCCCCGGTTTCAAGTTTTCTACGAGGAACGGTAAGCTTTCTACCTCGCAGAACACGGCATACATGAAGCGAAACAAGACTGCGAAAAAGGAATAACAGAGACAAAGAGAGAAGCACCCTTTCCATGCCAGAGAGAGGTTGATTGTGAAAACATCCGCAACCAGACCCTCCTGGGCGCGGCAACGTGCCCCCTAAAATTGCCAACGTCGCGAAAGACGTTGTCAGAGATATCGAGACATCACACAGTCAGAAACGGCTGAAGGCGGATCCGAAGCGCTTACATCGAGGCAGGCTTTTGTTGTGTACGCATTCAACGTGGAAACAACAATCCACCTGGAAGGAGAGACAAGACTTCTGTGCGCCGAAAACAACTTGTTCCGCCTCAAATCGGGCTATACAGTGGTGATACCTCGGCTGGGGAGATACTTCGCATCAAGGAAGCCTCCAGCAGGGGAGAGGCGGACTTGCTCATCTTTAGCAAGGCGGGGAGTGTCGATGTAGACCTCCAGTGTACGTCAAAAATCTAGAACTTGCCTCAGACGAATCAGATCATCGGGCCCGCGATCAGATTCAAAAGCTACCAGACCCGTGTCAATCCAAGCTTGTGGACGTTTGTATTTTCCGGTCAACGTTTGCGACCAAACAGGCGAAGGTGGTCAAAGTATTCTGCAACCAAGTCCTTCTTGATGCAGTAGGAAAATGGAAGCTAGTGGCTCGTATGATTGAAAACGTGACGAAACCAGCGCCCATCAAGAACGCTACAAGTTGCTAAGAGTGAAAGTACACATGTTGTAGTCTGCCGATGTCGATCGACCCCCACAAACATTACAGAAAACCAAATTTACGACTTCCTATGCTTGCGCGAATTCTTACGCTTGCGAGGACCTAACAAGAAGACTCTATCCTTCTTGTCAAACATCACACCAGACTCCTGGAGGATACCCCGCCTGCCCCGTTCGTTCTTCCGAATGTGCTTCACGATTTTCGTGGCCTCGAATGCACTACCTGGATAGCGACGGCTATGAGCCATATATTCTGCCATTTTCCTTGTCCTCAACCCGTGCTCGTAACACTGTACGCAACTCCTGAAAATATCGACCAATACTCCCCTGTTCTCAGCAACAAAATCTTCTATGGTCGTTTCAGGCTCTCCGTCCGCTTCCTCCTCCTCCCCGTCTTCCTCCTCCACCGGGGCCTCCGCCGCCTCCTCCGCCTCCTGCTGCTCCTGCTCCTTCTCTTCCACCTGGCACAGACAAAACATACCATCGTCTGCGGTGAACATTAATCCCGACCTCCGCCAACTCCTTTGCTCTGTTGTCGGCTGCATCCTTCACCATAGCTGATGTGATCGGCTTGTTCTCACCTACGCTTAGCACATCGTTGATACTGGGACCGTTATAAAAATCTATTGTCTCTTTCACGATGCCGATCAACACAAGCAGACGCTTTTACACCGATGCAGCCACCCCATCCAGCAATGCAAGCTCTACCTCCATGGAATCCACCGGCTGTGCATCGCGCTCGCCCGCATCGCCTGTGCCGGGTTCGTCGGAGAGCTCAAGCGGGTCGTCGGGAGCACCAGTCCCTTCCATCTCGTTCTGCCGCTGCTTCTTGTTTTCTCGCTGCAGGTTCTCGATCTCTGTAGCAATTCTTTTTGCCCCACACTGGGGACCAGATCGAGTGAGGCGGGTTTTGAAGAACTCGATCATGCCGTCTACGTCTTCCACCAGGTTGCCCTCAGCGACTTCTCGCCGCATGCTTTCCAGCTTTTCTAGCGCCGACGGCCCACCCTCAGCCATAATGGCGAACGCTCTGGAGCAGAAATTGGTTGTGGCAAGTGCCTTTCGGTGGATGTCGTGGGTGCTTTTGGGACCGAACACGACCAAATCCATCTGGGAAGAAACGGACGCCTCTATCACGGCGCAAATGCGACCAAAAACCTGTATAACATTCTCACAGCTCGCGCCCGGCATGATGATGAGCGCGCAGTCCAAGTGTCGCATATGGTTCGTCCCACAGACCGGCACTCCCCGGGCTACCATCTCGCGACCAAAGAGAATCGACTTGAAGAAGTCGTCATTGGGGGAGACTTCTCGGAGAGCTTCCATCACTGCCGTAACAAAGCGCGGGTAGTCGGTGATACCCTTCCCTTTGTAGTGGACGACGCCCTGGTTCTCGGGACCGGTTTTGACGAACCCCTTAACCAAAACATTTCTGCCGTTGCGGATTTGAATGTTTTCGATTGCCGTTTGCAGATCCCGTGACCGCGTGAAGATGTCCAGTTTTCCAGCGCTCCACGAGCACGTAAGGAAGCGAAAGATGTCTCTATAAATGACAGCCGTCACGCACGCTTCCTTAATCCGGGCGTCAACGCTGCCTTCAGTATCGCCGTTCGTGTAAACCATCCCCGCAATAGGCTTGTCGGACTCTGCCACGTAGTCGTAGAATTGTTGCCGAACCCCTCTCCCCATCTCATCTTTTCCTTCCACCTCAATACGGCGGATGGCTTTGAATCCCACGGGTTGAACCAGCCCATCCCCGTAGCCGCAGTAGTTCTTCGACACCGGCAAGTCGGTATAAATAAACTCTCGTCCGTCAAGCGGTAGCGCGGTCGTCACTAGTGCCTGAGGTGTCGCAGTCACGAACGCCACTGACGATGCCACGTCCAGCAGGGTCTTTGGACCGAAAGAGTCTTTGCGGAAGGCTTTTCTGAGTTCCGTGTCCCATTTGGTGGTACCCTTTCCTTTTTGACAAAGATCACCCTCGTCGATCCCTATAAAGACTCGGATACGTCCGGTGTCGTCGGGAAGGCGGCCGACCTCGTAGTCAATCTTCTCCATTATCGGCTTCGCATCCCTCACACCGGCATGGCTCTGCATGGCCAAATACACCGGGATTTCCTTGCCGCCATTTTTCCACGCGACAAGGGCATCTCCGAACTTGTGCGTAATACCTCTGGCGTCCGACCTTAATGCCTTGAGCGTCGGTGGATCGAGGAATCCAACTGCTTCGGCGCACTTCTTGAACAGCTTGTTGAAATCGTCAATGGCTTCAACAAAACGACCCAAATCGTTTGTCTTGAGCTGCGTGAAAAGTATCGTAGGCATGGGGTCTCTCATCATGACGGCCATCAGCATGATGAGTGCCACTAAAACACCGGTTTTGGCCGATTGCGGTGGGGCTGTGGTGACGCAGAGCTGGTTGTGTCCCAGAGAGCTGGCCTCCAGTGGATTATGCTGAAATTTGGGTGCCTCCCGGACAATCTTGATCCATTCATCCATCGATTTTTGGGCACAAGGCCGCGGCTCTGGCATCACCGTTTTGATGAAGTTGTCAAGGTTGGTTTTGTCGAGCTCCATCTCGAACATCAACTTGATGACATCGGAGGCCGTTGGGTCCTGCTGCACCGATGGTACAACCTCCCCAGCAGCCCCTTCGCCCGATACGTTTGTGTCCTGCTGCAGAGATGGTACACCCTCCTCTTCGTCCTGCTGCACCGATGGTAAACCCTCCCCTTCTCCGGGTACCGCCGCCCCCACAGCTGCCCCCACGCCCGATACGTTTGCGTCCTGCTGCACAGATAGGACATCCTCCTCTGCGTCCTGCTCCACCGATGCTAAACCCTCCCCTTCTCCGGGTGCAGCAGCGGCCACCTCGCCCGATACGCCTGAGGCCCGCTGCACCGATGGTACCACACCGGGGACGGATGACACCGGTGCTATAACGATGTCCGCACCATCCCCGTAAAGTCCTCCATCGATGAACTGCTGTAGACTTTCATCTGTGAAGATGTGCGGGTTTGAAGACACGAACTCCCCCAGGACGTCGACCTTTGATTAAAGCGGGTGGGAGAGACAGAGCGAGCAAACTATCAAGAGTCGCCGTTTTCCCCGTTTATTTACTCGCAACCATTTTCAGCAGTCTTGAACGAAACGAAGTGGATTTCAATATGAAAACTCATTCTCACATGCGCGAGGGGGTTGAACGAGCAGGTGGACCGGGTCTCCAGTTCCGCGTCCGCATCGGCATCCCCCGCTTTTGACGTTGCTCCTCCCCGGATAGACCCGAGCCCCATTCCTCTCGGCGAAAACCCACGTTGACAAAAGAAGGGGCTTCCTCTCCCGCCAACCGCACGCTCGAGGTATCCATATAGACGTTTGGAACCACCAGAGAAAATCACGTCGACAGCCACGGCGGTGCTTGTCGTGACATCAGATGTCGAAGGTGATGTTTCATCTCTGTCGATGATTTCTCTGGTGTACGTTACTCCACTGAAATGCTCGGGCTTAGTGAAATTGCGGACAGTCCTCGCGGGTCGGTAGCGCCTATCGCGAACAACTCGGCATATACGCGACGAATCGGGGGCAAGAGGCTCGAATCCCGCGAAGTCGGCGCTCGCATCCGGTGCATCGTTGCCACCCTGCGCCACCACATCAACCTGTGATATTATAAAATTGCTTATATCAGAACAGTTGTATCTTTTGCGCGAGAAATTCCAACTTTCCAAAGCGAGCAATGTATCCAACCCACAACTTTGCTCCCGCTTGGCATATTGAGTAAAAAGAGTGCAATGTGTATGCGGTGAAAGCACCCACAATTAACTCCAGTTTTGTCACCGCTTACCACACGCGTCTCTGTTGCCGGAATATCCCAAGCCTCGGGTACCGGACGGTCGGTAGTGGCTGTCAGGACGGGCACCACGGGCTCGGCGTGAGAAGCGATCGAGGATGCCATCATGGGCACAGTAGGCTCATGGCCAGGAGAGACGGTGGCGGTCACCACGGGTGTGAGTACCACGTCCTGTTATTTTGGGAGAGAAGCGCGTACAGAATGCAGAAAATGCAACGTTTGGGATGAGTGCACATTGCTTTGCCTGGAAGGGGGATGAAAAGATGCAAGTGTGGGCAAGCAGGTGTTTTGCCAAGGAGTAGGGTAAAATATGTATGATAGTTTTGCCACCGCTTACCACACGCGTCTCTGCTGCGGGGATACCCCAAGCCTCGGGTACCGGAAGGTCGGTAGTGGCTGTCGTGACCGGCGCCATGGGCTCAGGGGAAGAAGCGACGGAGGATGTCAGCTCTACTACCGGACAGTCTGCGGCTGCTGTCATCACCGGCACCGGCACCATAGGCGTGATTGCCGCGTCCTGTTTTCGCGGGAGAGGGGTGGGTGGAACGCGACAAATCCAGAAAAATTGAGTGTGGTGGGTTCAAAAAATGCACAAAGGGAGGAACGAAAAAACACAACAGTGTATAAACGCCGTTAACTACCACCGCTTACCACATGTGTCTCTACCACTGAGCAATCGGTGGCGGCAGGGGAAGAAGAGACGGTCACCACGGGCACAGGTGGCGAGGAATTGTCTCCTGGTGGGCAGTTGGCGACGGTGGTCACCACCGGAACGGGCACGGGCACTGGCACCGTAGACGTGAGTAGCGCATCCTTTTTTATGGGAGAGGGGTGAACACGTACAAAATGCAGCAAAACGATTCAACATGTGGGCCAAGCGGACGTGTTGGAGGCAGTACGTGATGAAAATATCCACGTTTTTACCACCGTAAACGTGATAACCGCGTGCTGCATTTTTTTTAGGGAGAGGTGCGGGGGAGGAATGCGTGCAAAATGCAGCTAAATTCGGCGTACACTTAACACAGACCCCTACTTCTAGAGGGGGGGGTTCACCGGTACATTCAGCGTTTGTCAAGCGGACGTTTTGCCAAGGAGTATAGCAATGTACAAGAAATCCCCCCCCCCCGCTTACCACGTTCGTCTCGTCTTCCACAAGGCAGGCGGGGGCCGGCACCACCGGCACCTTGCGTGAAAGGGAAGAAGCGAAAGCCGTGGTCACCTCGGACGAAGTAGGCGCAGAAGGAGCCGAAGCTGTCGCCACCGAGACTGGAGCCGGCAACGTAGGCGTAGGCGTTGGCGCTCTCACCTCGTACAGCGCTTCGAAGTGTCCGCCACCGTGCAGAATCATGGAAGAAAACCCCCGCGCAAGGGAGGGATATGTCCGAACGTACAGAAAGTTTCCCTTCCTTGCTTCTACGAGTGCAACCCCATCCAGGCGGAGTATTTTCGCCCCGATGTGCAACGCATCAGCGTCCATCCATGCACCTGGAGTGGCCATCACTTTTTTCCACATCGGTAGCGACTTGATCTCGCCTTCCTTTAAGCACTCCTCCACAGTCCGACCCTCGTCTGCTGCAATATCTTCATCGAGAACGCCCTGGAGCTCCTGGTCGGCCGATGCGACGATCCTCTCGCGCAGTTGCCGTACACGTGCCTTCGTGTTGTCATGGAGCCCACCGGTGGTCCGTCGTCGAATCTCATCCTCTGATACCCCTTCCGACCGCATTTTAAGCTGAATAAGAGCGATGAGCAAGCAGTCGCCACGGCCTCTGTTCCGAAACTTCCGATACATCTTAAAACGGTCCATGTAAATAGGTTCATTGTTCGCGACCGCAGGATTCTCCTGTCTCCACTCACGCCTGGCGCGGCTGAGATTCTCAAGGATGAGATCCTCACATATCTCCGCTGTACTCATCTTCCCACTCCGCACACACCTGTATCGTCAATGATTGCGAGCGCTGTATAATTGTAATTGTGTGTATGTACAGAAATTACTTTTGGTGGCGATCTTTGGCTGTTTGGTTTGTGTACGACATGGGGCGAAAAGGGGTTGTTTTTTACCCGTCAATATCTGCTATGTGTGTCAACAAACAAAAAGCAGTCATTCATGGGCCGATTCATTAAATGCCGTGTGTCGGGCGAGAGAGAGACGCTACGCGCGCTGATGGATGTGCCGTGTGGGTTTCATACAGCATTGTGAGGGCGTGTTTCCAAGTCTGTAGCCGTCAGGTGAAGACAGCTTGGGCGCCATGTGTGGATAATAAATCGCTCTGTGTTTCTCTACAAGCCTCCACCACATACGCCTACCACAGCGTACAACAGCCGGCGTACTGCTGTCAGACTCGCGCGGTAGGGGAACCACGTCGAGTCAAAAGGCGTCTGCCGCACCAACTAACTACGAACCACCTTCAGAGAGGATGTGTGCCGTTTAGCGGAAGACTGAGAGGTGAATTGTAGACACGTAATACACCCGTGTGTCAATCCAATGCCCCTCTCTCCCACATATACAACAAAAGAAGGAAGAACCGAACGTACGAGGAAAGAAGAAAGAAGGCAACATTGAACTATGATGTCCCCCCCCATCACGGACTCCAAGGCGAGGTGAATCTTAGACAAGTGATACAGACGTGCGCCAAATCGTGTCCCTGCCTACGACATGTAGGAAGCACCGAACGTCTTAGGAAAGAAGAACAACGGTAGAAGTCGAGAACGATGTCCCTCGACCCCTTGTACAAGCAAAATGATTGGAAGAAGTGCGAGTAAGCACCTGTTGATTTAGGAAGAGACGCACCAGCAGTAAACTACGGTGTTGGTGGCACACACGAAAAAGAAACGCCGTTCTACGCCGTCGACAAATAAAACACTTCGTACAAGCAACGGGGACGTTTAAGAAGTGCAAGAGGAAGCACTCCATGCAAAAGGAAAGACAAGCAGAGACAGCAGTGAGCTTCAGAGTCATACATGCATACGTATGTACGAATACTGTGTCTAGGCCGGCGGTGAGCAACACGCTCCGTCAACATGGTGGAAGCTGAAAGTAGCGCTCGATGTACACAGACCGCCAAAAACATCGAAGAGTGCACGACATATACGAAAGCAAGGAAGAAAACGTCGATCGAAGAGGAGGAATCCAAGTATGAAGTATGATCTGAAGCGAAGGAACAACCTACCGCTGTTGTACCCGAAAGAAACCTTCAAAGCGAGGGGAAATCCAACTCCGTAGACGAAACCCTCGCACATAGATGCGTTTAGTCTCGACTAGATAGGGATCTCTTTTTTTATTTTTCTTGAGCACAGCACACAATTTTTTTGCCTGCCAATGAAAGCGCCAGGTATGCCAGCATCAGGTGGCAACAAGTTAATTGTACATACCTGATCGAAAATGGGCTCACACTACCCATTGGTGGTTGTTGGAAATCTACGGCTAGCCTTCTTGCGACCAACATGTACAGCAGTGACCTGTGCTTTCATGGCTACACAATAAAAACCTGTCTCTGCAACCACTCCAAGCGCACTGGGCACGCACTACGCGATTGATGGAACGCCGTAACATAGTAACCCAATAACGCACGTGTACGGCATGGTGCAAGGTTGATACAGCAGTAGTGCTGGGGTACAACAGGGTTTTGCGTATGTCCCGAGTCTACGGCATGGCCCTTTAGAAAATCTCCGTCCTGTTCAAATTTCAGAAAGTGTCACGGCACCGAAAGCACAGACGACGGTTCCGTCTGTATTATACTCGTACGATTCACGCGTACGCTTTCGCATTGTTACCCTAGACAGCGGTGTGAAAAATTCGGCTCTCTCTTTTATCACCGTGGTGGATGTGGAGAGAGCAAGAGAGAGAAAAGAGCTGTTGCACCAGGCACAGCCGGCGTACAGGGATCCTTGTGGCGCAAACGAAGCGGCGTAAACGACCGATGACTTGTAATCAACAGAAGAGACGGATAAACAAAAAATTGAATGGCTGAGATCGTGACAGCATGGCATCATTACATTCCGGTGGTGAAGAAACAGTTCTCTCTCATTTGGCAACGTTTGCTGTAGCGGTGGATGGGGAGAGAGCAATAGAGGGAAGAGAGCTGTACGGCAGGCACAGGCAACCGGGGATCCCTGCAGCGCACAAGACGTGGCGCCAACGGGAGGTGGTCGGTCTGTCATCTACTGTAGAGACGGATACATGAAATTTGAAAATCTGGACGGTTGAAGTTTTTCAGCATGGCACCATCAGATCAGACAGCGGTCAGAAACCCATCCCTCTCTCTCTCCTTTGGCAACGTCTATGGCGACGGGAGAAATGAGAGGATGGTGCTAGCAACCGTGAATCCGGAGGTTGAGTGAAGATCTCTGCTCTTTGCACCTGAGAGTTGCCTACGTTTTGAATCAGCATCAACCTTGTGGCATCAGCTCTGTGCTTTATCTCCCGCATCAGCCGTGTGGCGTCAGCTCCTGTAGCACATGCAGGTCCCGCTCTGGTTCATGGCACCACAACACCGATGCGGAACGCGCGAGATGTTACCTCCGCTTCTTCTCTACTTCTTTCTCGTCGAACTTTCGACGGAAGTGGTGTCTGCTCTTACCTTTTGCCTCGATCTTCTCCGTCCCCGCCTCTTGCTCCTGTGTGTCACTGGTGCCTGCCACTGCGTGCTGAACGGCTTCAACTCTGATGTCTTCGAAACGGATCCCGGACGCTTGTGGTGAATGGTGTAGAAGAGCTTGTGAGGTGAAGTGGGGAGTGTGGTTGTGGGGGGAAGGGGCGATGGCTTGAGCAAGAAGAGTCCGATCTTGGGTCGTGCCTGCGAACTCGCATGCCTGGTTCAACGGTAACGGGCTATTCGGCAAAAGGAAATACTCCGCGGATCTCGCGAGAGAGAAAGGATACCAACAAAATGGCTCCGATCACGCGTACCCACACACCATCCTTGCCACAAACACAACTCGAACCCACGACCTGCAGCCTCGCGCACACGCGTACGACCTGGACCATGCGATGGAAGGTGAAGACAGTTTCCAAGAAGCACGGAGGTGGGTCGGACCAAGGTATGTGGACGGGCTTATGCAGAAAGAAACCCATGCGTAGCAGCCACTGCAACCATGGGCGAGAAGGTGTGCGGAAAGCGCGAAAGCAGTAACAACAACTACGGCAGCAACAACAATAGCAACAACAGCAGACGCGACAAACCTGGGTTCATCACCGCCCGTCGGAAAAGGGACAATTACCAGTCGGAAAAAGGACAATCTCACACGGATCCAATTTTGACGGTAGAGCGGGATTTTTCGGGGGAAGCCTGGCCCATCCCCACTGCATGCCCTACAGATCAACTCGTCAACGAGGGAGGTGGAGTCGAGAAGAGCATGCGAACTTTTTGGTGGGAGTCCACGTGTGCGGAAAGGATTGGACCGCCATATCTCGGCGCGTCGTTCCTTCGCGTGTCGTGGCACAGATCCGCACGCACCCGCAGAAATTCTTCATCAAGAAAAACCGAGGACACTCCTTCCCTGTAGAGGCTTGTTTGTTTTGTACATTTTTTTTGAAAATGTTGCGGGGCAGGACATCGAGACAGACTAGTACTACAGATGAAAAATTGCAAAACACGTCTTCCTTTCTCCCCACATGCCCTCCCCCCCAGCACCCTTGGCATACACGAGCGTCCCGGGCTTGAGAATTCCCGTGCTTGGCGTCCCCGTCCCATCATCTCCCATGGTACCTGCTGGAGGTCGTCATCGCCACCAGAGCAGCATCAGGGACGTTCTTTACCCCGTCTCTGCGCCGGAGGACGTCATTCTTCCTTTCAGGACAAGGCACGCGAGAGGTGCTCAGCTCCACACAAAGCTATGCTGACTCCTATGCACCGCTACACACTGACCACTCCCAATCTCTTTCCCTCTCTACAAACAGATCCGGTGCCAATAACCTCCCTGCTCTTGCCCTCCAACAGCACCACCACGAGGAGAGGCCCATCGCTCGCCCCCCCCCCCGCCAACCTGATGTTCATGTGCAACAACGACAGCGACAATGAGATAGAGGTGCGAAATTTTGGTTTCGTGTTGTCAATGTGGCCACATGCATTGTTCAGTACAGTACCGGCCCGCTCTTAAGAAAGCTGTCTACAAGAAAGTCAGGCTGAGATTTTCTAAAAATTTAGAGAGTACCCAGGCTGGGCGGCGAGTGCCACACTAAATCCTATACTCATCATAAGAAATTGTTATCCTTTACCTCAACCCAATATAAGAAAGTCAGGCTGGGCCCGATTTCTGGTTTCTTATGAGCGGACCGGTACTGTACTGGTTATACATTTCTTTAGACGACAATCCTCTTAACCTCAAAACACGAAACAGGCCAGCCTTGGTAGCGGAGGAGGTGGTGACAACACTGACCCCTTCAGCGGCACCAGCCTGTTGCAATCGACAAGCCCCCTGTCCAGCCCGCGTGAAGAAATCTCCGCCCCAGACGAACATGCTGGCGAAGGCGAAGGCAAAGGCAAAGGCGAAGGAGAAAATGTGGCGGCGGTGGCGGCGGCGACGGTTATGCCCGCTCGGCGAGCTATCCGCTTGGCAGTAGCCCTGTGAACGATCGAGACATGGGGGGCATGGGCATAGACATGGACACAGGCATAGATGTGGGCGCGTGCGCCGTAACAGACGGAGTGTGGCGCGACCTTTGCCCCGGAATGTTGGAATAATATTAATGTTATTTCATTTGCCCTCCGACAAATACAGATAGACATGCACTTACATATATAAAATACAAGCATACATTCCATACATAGACTGCATCCCAAATGACATAATAACCAAGAAAATCATGAAATATCAGACAAATCAATAATACGTTGTTGTTCACAGTAGCGCTTGCGTTGGAACCGGGCACGGCAATCTCAACCGGGTCGGCTGTCGGGAACTTTCGCTCGTCGACTCGTTGAGTGATTGTCTTGCTTGCAATAGGTATCTCCAGTGACCGTACCGTTTGAAATTTTGTACCCATCTTTGATGACCTTAGTCGACTTCAGTCACACACCCGGAACACTGTCTCCGACGGGACGATACCTCGACAAACAATTGTGGCGGCTTAAAGTAGACTCTTTGCCGTTGGCGTTGAACCGAGCGTTCGCGAAAGAACTAACCCCTCTTTAGCATGCACAATCAAAGGCAGGACTTGCCCGACCAGATATCTGTTCGGTGTACGCCGTTGTCATTCCCCGTGGATATAATGTTGATGCAGGCACGTCGTTCACCTGTCGATGTACAAAACTCCGCCGCGTCGCTACCGCTTATGCTTCTGCTGCTACTCCTACCATCGATACAGCCATTGTAGCTATACGGACGACGGCAACCGACTCCGTCGTGCGTTTAGCGTCTTACAACACGCATCCCTTCTTCTTTGTGCTTACCACAGTCCGTAGGAAAGCACCCGTAACCACAATCGGCCGTGATTGTACACTATTTGATGGCACAATTTATGTGGTGCATGCTAATCATCTCTTTCTACCAGGAACAAAAAGTGTAGACACACAAGGCAGGCGGAGAAGATGCATGTCGTACAAGTGATGAACGGTGCGTCGGGGGTTGGGTTGATCTGCTGTCGTGTGTTGGCTGGTCAAAAGGAACAATACAGCCGCCAGGCACACACACACACTTCCATGCCTACTCTCCTACTCCTTTGTGGCTCTGCTGTGTGCTGACTGTTGTACACACATCTCCATACCTACTCTCATACCTTAATGCAAGAGAGAGAGAGAGAGAGAGAAGGGAGAGTGGGCCCTGAAAGGAGAGAGAACAGCACGTTCAATGTTCACTAAAAAGGATTGAACTGTCACATCACCTTCTCACCTCTGGAGCCATATAAGCCTCTTCGACCGCTACCTTGTGGGCAGCTCGCACAGGCCCGTGGTATGTCGTGTGATGTTTGTAAGGTGATCGGGTGCACTGTGGGTATTTACCAAATTGATTCACTGCATAGGTGGGGGTACCATGATATTTGTACGGTGGCCGAAAGCACTGTTGGACAAAACCAAATTCGCACAGGTGGGGGTACCGTGATTTTTGTGAGGTAATCGGAGGCATAGGTGAAATCGTGATAGAAGAAGAGGGGGGGCGCGTGAGCAGACCAGTGGGAGAGCGTGAATTGGGGAGATAGAGGGACATGTACGTTGTATAGAGGGCTAGTGGTGAGTGCTGTGTGCGTGCTGTGTGCGTAATGGGTGCTGTACACGTGTTGTTATGTGCTGAGAGACAAGACTTGGCGGCCGCATTCGAACAAAGGTGACCCGCCGACATAATATTTCGAAGCTCTGTGCATCGATGTGTTTGTTCTTACAGTGTACATCGCTTGTAGCTCAAACCAATACTATGTCATTAGCTAATCAAACAGAAGTGGGCGTTTGTCCCCGTGTGGAGCGGGAAGCGTGAAAACCCCTTAGCCTACATCGGCCCGTCGCAAAACTTCAAGCCGATTGAGAAGCAAAGAAATCAAGCTTTGCGCTGCAACTGTTGCGGCCAGCGGATACGGCTGTAGTCTTCCGCCAACTGCGACGCTGACCACCTCGTAGGGGGTTGCAAAGGCGGCAAAACGACGCTCGAGAACATGCACTTGCTCTGTGTGCAACATCACCGTGCCAAATCTGCACGCGAGGCCAAGGGTGGTCTTAGGATGATGAATATTGACCTCGAACCAAGCGACACCAACGTGTAAATACGTATACATAGCTCGGTAATCATGCTCGACGTGGACACCAAAGTTCACGTCCTTGATAGTGTTGCTTTGCTAACCAAACAAAACATGGGCGTCGATGGCGACATTCTTTTTTGGGGTGCGGGCATTTGCTCGTTGTACGTTGTGTAGTATCATTATTATGTCGTTTGCCCTCCGAAGATTGCAGATAGATCCAGAAATACGAAGAACGTCAATCGTAGAATCTGTATTGAACCTCCAAGCTGCGTGAATTGGATGGCCAATCGCGAAGAAAGTTTGCCAGCAAAACTCCTGCAATCTCACTCGAAATACTGTAGGCATGTACCCCCACCCTGATCCAACCCAAATCAAACAAAACCAGGCCCCTCCCCCCTCGACACTTCCGACACCGTATCGAACAGAAATCCGCTTTCCGCCAAAGTGGTTAGGTTAAAGCTGTCGCGCGCATATTTCGGCGCGCAAAAGTCTGTGCGGCATTGCGGATCGACAGTGCTACCGGTCACACCAAGAGAAAAACGCCCGCCGTCTCCCTTCCTTTCCGCACCCCACAATGTTTGTTTTTTTATATTTTAAATGTCGACAGGGAAGAAGTCATCAAAGGAGACGAGCAAGCAGGCGACAAAGCAACCATCGTCAATTTTTTAAACGAGGAGCGATTCGTGACAGGCTTGCGGATCGACAAGCTACTGGCGTCGGCCGAAGATGACAGGGAAATGGCGTAAAATATATATTTCCACCAAACTTTCAGCAGTTGAGCCACGTGCAAGCGAGCCACAATTCAATTGCACTATTCGATCATGCTGGCCTGGCTTATCGGATGTTCGACACACGGTGTTTCGAAGGAAATGCTGGCGAAAACGAAAGATGCTCTGAAGCTGCTGAATGATCTCACGTCCGACGGGAACATCGGCGACGACTACTACCAAGCGCCTGACTTCGCTGCTTCCATGAACAGGAACCTCGTGGATTTCAGGCCCTTCTTCAAAGCGAAGGAAAACATCTGGTTGGTGACGATTGGTTACAAAATTCGGCAGGCACACGAGGAAGCGTTTGGTGGCCTCAGAGCCTGTCAGCTCCCATTTCCGGTCGAGGTCGAGTACGGCAAGGCCAAGCGGGCCGCCAAGGATGTAAAATACACGTGCAACGGCACAAAGACCAAAAACACCGGCTGGGGCAAGCACAAGCAGGAGCGGATCGACGAGGCGTGGGCCACCCTCGAGGCGGACACCGTGGACATCGAGTCGCGCCCCCCTCCGACATGCGGTTGTAGGGCGATCAGAGCGCAACTTTATGTTGCGGAGAAGAAAGAGAGTTCGTCGCCGGTTGTTGTCAGCTGAAAATATCAGGAGTGTTATTTTCAGAGTAGTAAGATGGATCCTCTGCAGACGCTGGCCTGCCATTCCTTTTTTGAAAGCTCAAGTGCTGGCACAGATATCCCGGGAACGCTGTGTTCGTGGGTCCAGTCGTGGGGCAAACGTGGGGTTGGACAAGAATGAAGACGTTGTCAACAAGCACATGAGTGCGTAGAGCGCGAGTCGTCGAGCAAACTTTGTGTGAGTCGCGCTTTCACAGGAAAGGTGTGCCCTAGCTGACACACTGGACATCCGCCATGCCACGAATCGTTGTGACGGGGACAAAGCGTCAGAATTTAACGACAGTACGATCAGCTGTTGTTGGGATGGACATGGCGAGTTAAAAACTGTGCGAATATCAGGCAGAGGATTCGCGCGGACGAGCAGAAGGAAGCCGAGTTTCAGCGCCGGTACCGCACGCTAAGAAACGAGGTGGTTGGAATTACGCCGATGCGAGGACTGGGAGGACAGCTATGGTGATAAACTAGGTCTTCGATTGAGTTCCTGCCGAAAAATGGGCATGCGGAAGAAGTGTATTGAGCGACTGGTAGACGATGGGATTTCTGGTGACGACTTTGAACTTTGGTGTTCTGCCTGTTTCGAGCGTGGCACCGCCGACGGGGCAGCAATTGCATCCTGTTGCGTGCTTGCTGTCGTTTCGTTTCAGCGCCGCAGGTTTCTGCTGTGTTTTGTTATTGTAGAAGCAGCCGCTGCCCGTTTTGCAGTTCTGCTGTATCGAGAGCAAACTCAAAACTCTCCCCCGCGACTGCAGGAGAGACGAAGCTTGGCTTTTGTCTTATCACACTGCTCCCGTCACGTGCCGCCGCAGGAAAAGGGAAACGAACATGTCCCACCAAACAATTTTTCATACAGCTCACCTTCAAGTTGGTTTCCAGACCCCGCCAACTCCGAGCCACAGCCACAGCTCGTACAAGCAAGAGTACAAACCCACAGGCAGTCCCCACACTCCCTCCATCCCTCCCTCCGTCGAGCTCGCTCTAGATGGCGCGTTGGAACTCAACTGCTGCAAGGAAGCGCAGCTCTCTCTCTCTCTCTGTCCCTTGTGCGATGAATCATAACACGGTAGACACCACACACAACTCTAACCCTGCCCCTCCTTCACTTCACATCACCTATCCGGAGGGTTTCGGACCATTCCAACAAGGGTGAATCCACGCCGCGTTCTTCGGTAATTCGGTGATTCTACATTGGAGTTCTCGGAGCGCCGTGATGGCTCCGGTGAATTGTCAGTGAACCCAAAAGTTCCAATACACTCCCGCCGAACCAAAAGTTCTTAGCGCTGTGATTAACCAATGACGGGGCAGAGTATATATATACTTTCCTCTACCATTGGTTGATTGAAAAAGTGGGTTACTCTCCCGCCGGACAGACAAAACGCGAGAGGGGGGGCGATAGAGAGAGTTCTAGGCGTGCGCTCAGAAGCAGCTACGTCAGAACCGTCTCGACGCTACGAGGAGGGTCTTCACTAGCGGGAGCGAGCGTTGCAATTTTTACTTCGTAGGGGGAGCGGAGCCTACCCAGACTGAGGCAGCAGCGTTGGAGAGCGTACGCGGTGGGCACAAGAGGCAGATTTGTAGAGGCTTAGGAGGTTGGGCGAGAGCGATAGGGCACCTGCTCGGAAAGCACACTAGCGATTAGGCGGGGACTGGAGACTCTCGAGGTAAGCAGTGTCAGGAAGCATGTGGGAATTTTCGAGTATGCCATCTCGTGGTCAAGGCCCTATGCACGCGAAACCGAAAAGGCGCGTGTGATGATGCACGGTGCGAACGGGGCAACAAAAGCACGCATCGTCCAATCGCGTAGTTGGCGAGAGGGAGGGCCGAAGTTACGCATGTGGCTTAGTCAGATAGGCATGGCCGACAGTCACCGGCAAGCAGAGAGAAATCGATCCCAAATTTTTGCCAAATCAGCACACCGCGGCAGGCAAAACAGACCGCATTTCAGTTCACCATACCAGAGTAGCGAGGGGTCTAGAGCCCGGAGAACATGACAACTTCGCTGGGATCCCGCTACACTATCCCCCTGTGCTTGGCAGCCACGGGCGCATTCGCATATGGTCTGTTAAGCGTGGTCGCATAAAGAAAGTGGAGTTTTCCGCAAAATGTTTTTGAGGAAAAGCGGAGGCACAGCGGCAGCGGTAGAGGCAAGGTCGGTGGAACCGACCATGGGATTACCATCCCTCGGCCGTCTGATCTGTGTTGGAGCTGTCCTTCGAACCAATATCCATGATCACCTAGGGCACCACTTCACCAAACGTAGAGCCCCATCCGTCCAGGAGGAAGGGCGCACAGCAGTATTCCCGGTCCCGATGTTACAAATTTCACCGCAACATCAAGGCAGCGTGTGTGCATTCGTCCAGACACAGATTTAACGGTGGTTTGTAACGTGCTTTTGGGCGGGTCGCATAGAGTATGACTTCAAATGCGCTCGAGAATCGCCCATGGCTGCTTCGTGCATGTTCACATTAGATCGTGCGTTGTTTGTTTGAGCCAGGGGGGGGGGGGGGGGGGGGGGGGGGGGGGGGGGGGGGGCTAAAGGT